GTTTCTGGGGTTTTTGGCGAAGTTCTAAAAGCCGCACTAATCTGTCGTAGACTCTCGGACAAATCACGATCATCGTGTTTGGCGAGCTTCAGAGGCATGTCGGTGCCAGGTAGGTCAAGGTCTTCCGACCAGTCGTCCGCAATTGCCTTCTTGATCTCTTTGCCCTTCAGTCGTCGTATAGTGCCACCTTCCAGTGCAGAGCGCGGTATATTGGCGGGTAATGGTATTCCTTTGCTTTTCGCGAGTGCTACAGCGTCCTTGATCGAGGCCTGTTCATCAACCAATACGTCCCAGTTTTCGTCTCCCTGATTCGACTCGGATCGCATAGACAGGCGCGACGACACCGAATCTCGACGGTGTGTTTGAGGATGGGATACGACCGACGTTGCGGTTGAGGCAGTACGGAAGTGGACATCTTCCAGGTTTTCAAAGTCGTCATCGTCCCAGTTTTCCACATCAGGGCTCTCAACCGGAGTACGTTGCTTCAAAGTAAGTGGTTCCATGGCTCTCGCTTTGTTCTTGAATGTAGTGTAAAGTGTTTAGGAGGAGGTATTAAGGTCGCAAAAAAACGTAGAGAAAATCTGGTGCCAGTAATAGCATGAACGGGGGGTCGTGGTATTCGTGAGAAATCGTAACGTCATGAAGAAAAGATGTTCAAACTGCGTGGTTGATCGAGCTCTAGAGCGTGTTTATCGCTCCCCGTCGAGGGAATATACCACCGATCGGGGGCAGTCGAGGGAGGAGCGACCTTTGTGTGGTCCGAGGAACGGTGAGAGTTTCGAGTTCTGTAAGTTGAGGACTTTTTCGAGGTCGGGCTGAGGTCTGCCGGTAGGGGAGGCTGGAAGGTTGGTTGTCGGAGGATTTGGCTTCTTACGATGGGCAAAGGTGGAGTTTCGGCGCGGACAAGCAGTAGCAGCCAGAAAAGCTGGGAAATGGGAAGGCAGGGACACGAAACCGGCCAATCAGAGTCGCGCTTGACGCGTTCCGTGCTTTGCCCCACCCAGATGGCGTTACGTGATTCCGCCCCGGACTGGTCACTGCTCAGCACCAAAGCTAGCTGGACAAGCTGGACTACGCTGCTTGAGTGCTACTCTGGGGTCTGGAATCTGCAGCCTTGCATGGCGGTGGGCTGATCGTCCAAAGTAATGCAGCGGCTAACTTTCATATGGTCATGGCGTCGACGTGGGTTATTCGGCTCATCCAAGCCGACAAAAGCAGCAGTCCAATATTGATCAATGTGTCACAAAAGGAAGGCGGGCATGATCTGGATCTCGACCTCCTCGCAACCGACGGCGAAGCAGCCTATGCCGGTAAAGGTGAGGTAACAAGTTCCAGCGAAACTGCTCTTGTGCTGAAATTCATGCAGTCAGGCAGCGCAGCCTCAAGAAATTGCGCGCGAAGAATTATGAGGGAAATGACGACGACTGGGCAAAAATCATCTCTTCCATTCTCGGCACAGACACCAAAACCTCAGCCAGCATACAGCGTAAGAGCAATCTCGAGGTGACGTGTTCAGTAGCGGGCAAGGATCCTAAAGCCGTCTTATCAATCACCATCAACAATAGAATCGAAGAGATCACACAGCGCCTTGGGGCTATTGAACTACCTCAAACGGAAGACACCGACGATGTGGACCTCTTTGGCTGGGCATCGCAGGCGGCTGAGAAGCGGGATGAGTTGCAAGAAGATGTCACAAGTCTGAAAGCGCAGGTCAAGACAAAAGATGAGGTGGTGGCAAGCCTCCAGAGACAAATTGACGAATTGGTCGAAGCCAAAGCTGAGCACGAACAGCAGATGCTATCTAAATTTGCACTGCTCCTCAACGAAAAGAAGCTCAAAATCAGGAATATGCAACGGATCTTGTCCACTGCAAAGACGGACAAGAAAAAGTTGAAGGAGCTGCAAGCTGTCATTGGGGATGAAGCAGTCGGTGCAACTCGACGTCGTAAGAGACCAGCTGAGGACGTCGTGGACGACGATGATGAGAGTGATGGCTTCGAGACCACTGGCGCGGAACCTGCCACTAATATCGGGAAAGAAGCCGGATCACCAAGTTCTGGTGACTCGACCCCAACACCCTCAGAGCGTGACGAGGATACCGATGAAGACAACTTGGATGCCCCGGCAACATATTCGGATCAACCAAGAACTCGAGCAATAGATCCAGAACATGACCAAGGACAAAGCATGACGCAAGGTAACGGGCAGACTAAAGCTCAGGCCCAAGCTCAAACCACCCAGGCTGCAGAACAAAGCGACAGTGGTGATGGCAACGATGACAACGACGATGACGAGGAAACTGCGAGCGAGGATGACGAACTATGAGCACGCAAGGACCTAGAGTGGTCCTCTTCTTGATGATTTACGCAACAAAACCAAATTGGATACCCATTCTGCTCGGAACCAGACCAGGTCTTGATATGGGATCATTTTATTTTCTTTCATTCAATGGTCAACCATTTCAATCATCTGTCACTATATTCGGAGAGCTTGGACTATATTCTCGCGTGTCCCCGTGACAAGATCCCGTCATATGTCTTGACAGCTTCAGTAGTTGAAGTTTGGCTGGTCACGTTGATTGGGGTCATATTGATCCATGTCCCCATAGTGCTTGTCATACATGTGCTCGGCACTCTTCTTAGCATGTTCTCTTGCTCTGATCTTGTCATATTCGTCCAAGCCCTTTGTCTCAGCGAGTTTGTCGACTTCGGCTCCAACGAAGCCGGCAAGGAGTTCTTTGGCAAAGCCGTGGTTGACCGTCTTGCCTAAAAGGTGTCAGCGATGCACATAAGTTGCGAGTTTTGAAAGACTCCCATACCTTCTCTGCGTTGGCGGTCCTCGTAGAGCTTCATGCCCTCAAAGGCGGCTGCGCCACCAATGAGTTCATGAGAGAATTTGGCCTCATGTCTTTCGTCCCCGTTATCTGACTTCTTGTTAGACTCATGTAGGTAACACTGACCCATCGCTACCGGTGCAAGCGTTCGAGGTTACTTACAGACTTGCTGATGAGCGTCACGGCTTTCGTCTAGGATAAGTCCAGTCAGCATGGGATGGAGGGGCATTGAAGAGACGGTCAGGTTTACTTACCCCAACCAAACATCTTGATTCGAAGTGCTAATTCTGATAGAGTTGCTTGTGGTTTAAGAGTCAGATGAAAAGGGTCGGATGAGTTTGAGAGTCTTGAGTATGTCAACAAACAAAGAAGAAGCAGAGGACAGGTGGGGAGATATATAGGTTTTCAGAAGCGGCTGTCTTGTCACCGCCCCAGGGGCTTGAGTGAAATCAGAACACGCACTTGCCCCTCGATGCATCCCTCTCGCTGGTAGTTCGCCATTGGGATTGCGTAGATATGACCCCACCTCGGTCACAGCAGCGGCCAGCCATTTAGCTTGATGTTTCTTCTGTTTCACCTTCTACGAGCATTGCGTCAACATGTGAGCGTTGCTCAGCAGCTCAAAGTCCCTCCTAATGTCCCCTGCAAACACTGCTCGAGCCGGTGCTGGGTTCCCGAAACAAGATTTCAGCTGGCCAACAGTGGCTGTGCATCACAGTGTCTCTCTTCACCGTTCTATCACTGATCCGAGCTATGCATCAGTGATGCTGGAGCCAATGCAGGTCCGCCACCCCACATCTGTTCAGCTCGCTTGTTCCCGCCATTTTCAGGGCCTTGTTTGCTTCACCGGGCAATTCTTTCACCAATGTTCTCGGACCAAATATGTTACTATTAGGCGCGCTCTGTGCAGTGACGGGTTTCGCATGTCAGCCACCTCAGCTCCCTTGGAACGCGGAAGGATGCGGGCTGCTTCAAGTTTTCACTGAGGGGTGTAAACCCGATGCAGGGCCCAGGGAAACCTGGGAGCCGAGCGCCAAGCACAAAAAAGAGCTCGCGAGCATTGCTTGACTGCTGGAGCCAAGTCTAACGCCAAAGCTTGTCTCGGACCCTGACAACCTTCACAGCCCAGCATGCGCCCAGACACAGAACGTCATGCTCGACGATTCCTAGCAAGCTGGATCTGCAACCGCAAAACGTACCGGTCAATTTGTCCAGTACCAGATCTACCCCTACTCCAGCACAAATAGAAGGGTTGGAGGATCAGCAAAGACACGTGTGTATATCGCAAAAAACCTTGTTTCTGTCCAGACCATCCCTCGATCCCTGCGCCACAATGCCTCACCAGCATCTGGGGGCCGCTCCAACCGCCAGCGACTTGCCAAACGTTCTCAAACCGATCCTCCATCTTCCACCAGACAACAAGCCAACGAATGTGGTCATCTTCCTCCCAGGCTTAGGTGACACCTCAGCCAACTTCTCGTCCTTCTCTCGTGCGCTGCAACTCCCTGACGCTTTGGCCATCACGCTCAACCCACCTTTTCCATTACCATTCCCCCTGGGACCTGGGGATCAGTGGTCTGAGGACCTTCACATCGACACCGCCACGGGTGAACTTGATCCGGACTCACCTTTGACCAAGTCCGTGGATCTAGTGGCTGAGGAAGTTATTTCGAAAGTCCTGATCAACAAGTTCAAGTACCGACCAGACCACATCCACCTCTTTGGCTTTGGACAGGGAGGTTCAGTCGCTCTAACGGTCCCTCTACACCCATCACTATCTTCTCTACCCTCATTGGGAGGGGTTATATCAGTTGGGGGAGCTCTGCCGCTATCTGCACCTCTCACAGGCAGCAAGTCTCAGAACAAAACACCGGTTTTGATCCTTTCAGGTTCTAAATCACCACTTGCATCGGTTGGCTCCAGCCCACTAAACCGCATCAAGTCCACCTATGAGTTTGTCACTTATAATCAGTGGAAGAAGGCAGACGATTCGCTGCCTAGAAATCGAGACGAGGCTCTACCCATGATGCAGTTCTGGGCACGAAGGTTAAGAAGCCGACGAGGTGTCCCGGATGGCGCGATCGAGATAACCTAACTTGGTGGTACATGAGCTTTCGATTACTTATCAACCTTAGTGCAACAGTATCGCCAGTTGCAACTTGACCGATCATTTTTCAAGTCGATCTAATTCTTCCTTGGCTCTCGTCACAGCATCTTCAACCTCTTTCCGACTCTGCAATTCGACCTCATCCTCCACGACTCGATTGGCAGCATCAACTAGCTCCTCCATCCTGCCCACAATCCTCTGAATAACAGTCCTGCCTTCGTCGTACAAGTTATGCTCCAATGCCTTCGTAGCCTTGAACCAGTCTCCTTGCATACGCCACAACGCGTAAGCAGTACCCAGCGCTGCTATCGTACCAGCTTCGTACATGCTGCCAGGTGTGATGGAAAGGTAGGTCAGAGCCGAGAGCCCGCCGGTCAGACCCGTGATTGAAAGGGTTTTGAGCACAATCTGTTGAGCAGTGCTGGTGAGATCCGCAATTGCCCGTTGCATTTGCTCAGAACGGGTACTGGAGATCGATGAAGACAAAGGTATAGGTTGGGGGACAGGGACCATCTCGACTTCAGCGGTTCCCTTGGGATTTATCAGGACTGTCCTCATAGGAGGGTCAGTCGCAATGCTAGCTTGCGCCTGCAGTACGGGGTTGGGCTCTGTCTGTTTATTTTGGTCCGCCTCCATTGTCGATTTTCCTTCCTGAGGCAGTGGAGGCAAGGCGTCTGTTGGCGAGATACCCGCCTGAGACAGCCTACCAGATATTTCATAGACTGCGCGCTCAGTGCGAGGAAGCCAGGCATTTGAGACAAGGTCAGTGATGATCAGACCAACATCATCCACACGCCAGAACAGCTTGTACCAAGCCAACTTGCGCCAGTTGTGGGAACTCCAAGCTGATGCGAGCCCAGATTGGAGCTCCTGGTGGGCGTTACGAGAAAATCCCTCGATGGCTTCCTCGAGGTTGGCTTTTGTTGCTGGGCTCAATCGCCGAGCTGCGTTCGATTGAGCTTCTAATGAAGCTTGAAGTTGCAAGTTGGTCATGGCAGTTGTCAGTAGAGAAGAAATCAAGGCCTTCACAGGTGCCGGAATGGGTCTTTCGGATCTTGCAGCTGAAGTCAGTGAAAGCCAGTTGGACAATGTTGGCATGCCTGAGTCGACCCATTTGTGTTCGTATTCTGTAGCTTCCCCTACAGATCTTCGGATTGCTGCCAGGCCATCCTCTGCTTTTGCTGCGTCCACGACCAAGACCTGGGATTGGCTTTTTGCTTGGAATCCTTTCAGGTCAACTACCAAACTCACAGATTCTCGGTCTTCCCGAGCTGTGAAATTGGTCGACGCCAATAACTCTGCCGCCAACATGAGCCCATCCAGGTCTTTCGTAACCAGCAGAGAGCTATGTACTGGTTGGCTGATAGTCGTCTGTCTTCCACTCGCGGCGGTTGGAGTTCCAATTGAAGGTGACAGGAATGCATCTGAGGTAACTGTTTGCGCTCCTTGCAACAGCTCACCATTGCGGGGTCCACTGATGCTTGACAAGAGTATCTCCATATTGTTTCTCTCGAGTACGTTCGATGGGACGTGCAGTACTGGGATGCTCATCTTCGGCCGAGGAAGACTTGGATTCGGTGCTCGTCCATAACGTATCAACACGCCTCGACTGAAGTCTGTGTTATTGGCACTCTTGATCAACTCCCTCTCCCAGCTCGCTTCGTCTTCCAATGCGTCCGCAAGCAGTAATCTGACCACCCTGCTTGCGGTATCTTGTACGTTCAGTCCCAAAATAGCCACCCTGGTCACTGGGGTTTCGGACTCGAGTCCTTGAAGGGCAAGCTGTAGTCGACTGAGGTTGATCTGAGCGGCTGCTTTTTTTCGTACATTGAGGAGCGACTCGTAGAGAGGTTTATACCGCGCGGGGACGGGCTTTGTCGCGTTCACGGCAGTAGTAGAAACCAGGGTGGTGGTGGACGTTGAAGCATGCCGACGCCTGCTGTTTCTGCTCCCGGTGCCGGCTGAGGGAGCTGTCCATCGTGAAGGCCTGGTTGTCCGCCAGGTTGTACAAGATGGGCAGAAGAAGAAGTTGTCCAGGAAGGCCTCAATCTGCTGACCAGCATAGACCCCACGGGGTCCTTTCATGGTGTGCTCAGTTATTTGAGCAGTCTTTGTCTCTGAGCATGGAATGATGTAAGTTCAATTGGAATCGCAAACATATTAGCAGCTGCGTCTCCAAACTGCGACGTGCGGCCCGAAGTTTTGCCGTATATACAATCCACGAAACGACCGCCCAAGACGCGCTTCGTTGACTTCTTACCGTGTCCCTCTTTAAACACTCTCGATCCTCGCTATCAGCCCGCAATTCTGTCTTGTTGATGTCAAGCATATGATGCTAACCCATCTGCATACACCAAGGGAGCTAACATGGCTTCTACGACCACCATAAACACCTGGATGGAAGAGCTTTTGTTCTCCTTCCCGCTTCCATCCGCAATAAACGATGTACACAGATACAAAGACGATTTCATCCGCACCATCAAGCACCACAACTATGGCCGGACGAATCAATTTGCAGTCGATGAGAAGCTTACCGGATTAGAAGAAAAGCTCCAAGTCTACAACCTCGATGATGTGGCTGCAGAGCTTTTCGCACGACGTGAGGAGCTGAAGAAAGACCACAATGACAAAAAGTGGTTGCCCGATGTTCTAGATTTTCTGCTCCATCTTTCTCACCACCCTGTCCACCATAGTCGGGTCGAGAACCTTGAGAAGTTGAGGCCTCGTTCAGAGATCCCTCTCCCATTGACGTGGGAGGAGATTGACGCGGAAGATCCGATCGATCGCCGGGATGAGATATGGAGGGTCCCGAAGTATTCTGATTCCAGCTCTGATGAGGATGAAGCTCCCCTTCCGAGCTCACCAGCTTCATCAGTCAAGTCCAAGCACGAGGCCACAGACTACACGATTGGAGAGAGAGTGTTGGAAACGTCTGTGGCCCAAGAGCCAGCGAAATTAGAAGCTGCACAATTTTGGCGCAGATCTGGACCTGTTGTGACAGTGACAGAGACCCAAGCTGTGCGGGAAGTTCTTTTTATGCTCACAGGAATTCCGACCTCCCTTTTCACTATTACCGATCACGGTATTCGGCCCAATGCACGATACTGTTTGGCTCATCTAGGAAGGACAACTTCGAGGTCCTTGCTAGAGGAGGCAGCTCGGCTCGGCTCCAACATTGATTTTGTTCGCCAATGGCTGCGCATACCGCAGGATTCGGTCGTCATGCAATTTATCCAGAGCGCAATCAGCAGGATCATGACCACTTTCGAATTTGCCATATCCAAGGAACAAGGTGCCATCCTACACCAATCTTCGCCAGCAGGTGTGATCACTCTGCTTCGGACGTTACAGAAAGTCGAGGAGACAAGTCAATCGTTGAAGGCTGTGAGCACCATTGTGCCTTATTTCACTTCGAATGACCAGATAGCCGCACTCAACACCATCTATAGTCATTTGGACACAGCACACAGCTGCTCAAACGCTGTCGAAGTGGAGACTTACCTCCATCTTTTCCTGTCTTCCCTCTCGCTCTACTCGAAACCTATCGATTTATGGCTGCTCACCGGCAAGATCGAGTCCACAAACCCATTCTTTGTCTCCGAGAACAACAGGAAACCGCGAATGCCGAGCACCTTGTGGCACGATTGGTTCACCCTGGCTGCTATGGAAGACCGGTTGATCCCAATATTCCTGCAGAAGTTTGCTGAAAAGATCTTCACAATCGGCAAAACTGCTGCCTTCCTAGATCATCTTGGACGAGCCGCCCCAAACAACGGCAACGGTCCTTTCGGAATCGCGGCTGCGGCAATGGAGACAGCACATCTGGTAACAAGATCACCATTGCCCTTTTCGGCAACGTTCGAAATGATCCTCGGGCGTCATCTCAGTGCCCTACTCGACACTTTCACCACCGCTCTCAGGAACAGCCTAGAGACCAGCTGTGGCCTAACCAGATTTCTCGACGCACTTGACTATCTCTATCTTGCGAAAGACGGTGTCCTCCTTGATAGCATTGAAAGCAAGATGTTCGACCAGATAGATCGTTGCTTAGAAATGTGGAACGACCGCTTTCTTCTCTCAGATCTCCTGGCGGAAGCATTTCAGTCCTCTGAATGTGTCGACGTTGATGCAATCACAGTCCAGGCGGAATATACCTCTTCTCGAAGCATGGAAAATCGACGCCGCTCTGTCAAGATCCTCGCTGCTGTGTCCGTTTCATATCACGTCAGCTGGCCGATTGCTAATATCATCCCCCAGACTTCCACAGTCTCCTATCAACGTGTGGCTCTGATGTTAAATCAAGTCCGACGCGCCAAATCCTTGCTTGAGAGTCGAGCGTACTTTCACGTTCAACACATGCCTTTGCCCTTTGAGGACCTCAGCGAACACAGGCTTGCGCGAATGGTGTGCTGGCAACTGTCTCATTTTACTACTACCCTCTATAGCCATCTTACAAGCTGCACAGTCCTGCCTTTTACCATGATCATGCGCGAACGCCTGTATTGCTCCTCGACCAGGAGTCTTGACGATATGATAGCGATACACACCCACTATATTACCGTGTTGGAACATGCATGCCTGAGCAGCAAACGAATCAAACCTCTACGTGATGCACTTGTTATAATCCTCGACCTATGCATACGATTCACCGATCTTGTGACCTCACCGTCAACCAATACTGAGGTGCGACCGGCTTCCGGAGACGTGCATGGGGATTTCGAGGCGAGCAGCTTTATCTCTGCGCGCAGTCAGAGAAGACGTCGAGGAAAGAGACATGACGAGGAGTATTCCTCCTCGGACGACGACGATGCTAGCATGGGAGAGGGCTACTCGACGTTCGTCCTTGAACAAGACACATCTCTCATCGAAGAGATCATCAAGGTGAGAGAAGCGTTCAAGAAACAGGTCAAATTCTTGATCGCGGGCTTGAGAGCCGTGGCTAGGAGTTCGACGTCGACCTCAACACAGGCACACAGACAGGAACACGTCCAGCAGGGATGGGAAGTGGGCGAGAACTTTGAACTGTTAGCCGACTCGTTGGAAGGGGTCTTTCCTGTTAGCAGAAGGTTCGGTTTTTGAACGGGCTTCATATCCGAAATTGGTCGAACTTGAACCGTCGAGCAACTACAGAAGCCCTAGGGGTATTTCATCGGCTCTGCTATCCAGGACTGCTCTGAATATTACTTTTTTTCCTTTTCTTGCCCTTATTCTTACAACCGCTTCGTATCCATACGAATATTTGCTCATTGTCCATCCCTCATTCCCCTTAGCGGCCACAGCCGGAAATGGGTTTCATGATGTTCTCCGCCACTTCGTTTCCTCTGCATCTTTTGCGCCGGATGTATCACCATTGCCTTGCTCGGTGTCTTGCCTCGGCCGAACAGTGCCAGCTCCAGGGCCCAAAGGTTCGTCGGCCCCTGGTCCGTCTTGGTCACCGCGTTCCTCGTCTGCCTCCTCTTGATCGTCACCGCCAATCCAGTTGCCCTCTTCGTCGAAGTATTCGTGCATGTTCTCTGCCGTGATCCACCCCCCGCTTCCCGGCATCGCTGGTGGCAATCCGCCGTCGGTACTGCCTGGGAAAGCCAGCCCCGCGCGAAACAAACGGCTTCCACCTTCATCACCCTCTTCCTCGTCTCCCACAGGGTCGGGATGCAGATTAGAGCAAGTGGAGAGGGCGTTGAACATGGCCACAACAGGCGTCTGTTCAGGCTTGTCTTCTCCCTCAAGACCATCCTCGGCCGTCCCTGAGCCTGTTGAGGCGACTTGTGGTGGAGCAGAGGCGGTCGGGATCACCGTGACAGATATAGAGTCGGGCTCTGCGTCTTCGTCTTGCGCAGCTACCTCTGACGAGGGGAACGAAACTACCTGCATGTAGAGACCTTGCTGTTCGCTGGGCGAGGGTTGCGGCAGAGATTGGATTGCGTGGAGAGAAATGGAGGGGTATGGGATCGAGAGGCCTGCATTTGCATCATTGGAGTAGAGGAAAAGTTTACTGTCAATGTCAGTTTGATGTTGCGCAAAGATCTCAGTTGTCCAACTCACTCTGAAGTCACCCAGACATCCACATTCTCGACGACTTTTTGCTTTCCCCTCGCTTCAGAATCCCCATTTGGCTCGGCGCCATTGGCTCCTGTTTGCTGAGGTTGCCCTTGGGAGCCTAAGTGTTGCAGCAGAGGCGCGAATGCTGGGACGGAGCGGGCTTCGTGTTCTAGGACGATCAGTTTGCTGCGGTCGCTGTAGTAGTGTAGGACGGGCGGCCCATTGTAGAAAGAAGCGGGCGTCGCAGACTGGTGCTCTATGAGAGGCACGAATGATGAGGCCTTGGGTGGCTCACGAAGGATCTCCATGGTGCGCTGTTGTGCAAAGGGAAAGCTATGCTGGTGTTCTGTCTTGACTGTAGCACTTTGGAAATGGGAAATTTTCTGGCCGTTGGCGGGGATCTTTTTTCCCTGCCGTCTCGCCGTGCCTGAATTCAAGAATGACATTGTGCCTGCGGCAAGGCCGGGGTAAAAGCCTCGCGTAGATGTGGATCCACCTGGCCGCGCAAACAGGCCAACTCAAAGATTCGATTCGATCCATCCCATCCATCACATTTGTTTCTTTTTCTCCCCTTAGGATTGTTATCTGCCATTCTCCAGCTTGTCCGGTACGAGTTCTGTATCATGGCTGATGGCTAACAGCCTTTGTTCAACATGGCCGTCGCAAAGCCCGTGCGGTTCCTAGGGGCGCTGTCCGTGGTTCTGGTCTTCTTCGTCATTTATCAGTACCTGCGCCCGGTCCAAACTATTCAACCGCCCGGTACCGTGGTTGGCAATGGCGAAAAGATTGAGAACTGGGAGCAGGATCCTCTGCTAGAGCGTGTGTATTCTCTCTCGGAATCAATGCGACGACGCTAACATCCATCTCAGCAATCGGCGAGCCTCCCGAACCACTTTGGCGACACACCGAACACGACTATACCCCCGACAGCCTCAACTCAGCGCGCATCAATGCCACACTCCTATCTCTCGTCCGCAATGAAGAACTCAATGAACTTCTCCCGACCATGAGGCAGCTCGAAGAGACGTGGAACTCCAAGTTCAACT